CAATTTTTTTTAACGTCCACGTTAACCACTTTGTGTGTAGATGATAATATAGTTGTCAGAAATTGTATATGTGTGTTTATCCGTGACCCTGAACGTCAGTCGTGTATACTTTTAAATGAACACCAAGTTATTTTAATGATTTAGTTTGATGTCCAGATGGGATTCGTTGAAATAGTTAACAAATAATTAGACGTTATCTTCTAATTGTTATTTCTACTAGTGAAGAATGATCAGTAACAAATTACAACAGGTACTAAAGCTTTTTTCACTATGAGCACCGTGACGATACCATAACAGAACTTAACACAGGTAACAAATAGGGGTCGTAGCAAGCAACTTCGCGTCGTTGTTATGGGAACTGCACATGCGTATACAAGCTCATCGTATTCACCCCTATCCCCACTCTTTCATATACATCATACACATAGTGATACATACACGTTTTTGCATATGCTTACGTTAATGGATAGAACTTTCATAGTATTCGTATGTATTCTGAGGTATCACCATTCTAAACGTTTATTTTGTCTCTCTTGTTCTTTCTTCTCTATCTTTCTCTTACCTATATTTCTCATAACGTATATGTATATATGTGTGTGTGTGTGTCTCCATTTCTCAGTATAGTTAAAGCATGCGTACGTGTACAGGTTCAATGTCAAGTTCTCCCTACTGCCGTCATGCGACTATTCTCGAACATAACACACTAAGAAGGTCTAGAGGTCTATTATAGCTGTCTAGGTGTCTTCTAATTGAAGTTTTTTTTAATGAGATCTTATTTTCTTCAATCTCTTTTTTTTTCCTTCTGTTTTTTTTTTTTTATTATTATTTTTTTGAGACTCCATTATTTTTACATATGTATGCAGATAATTATATAAGTTGAATAAAATGAGTCGAAATTTAAAAAGGAAATCAATGTTGTTCAGTTATTTCATGTGTCATACAACATTAATTTAAATTAAAATAATTTAATGTAATGTTTACGATATATTGTTGAAAAATGAACTTGGATAGTTCTTGTTAATTGTCGTTCAAATGTAATACTTTAAATATCTGGAAACAATAGATACATGATTTTCGGTTCAGTTTTATAAGTATAGACACATTGTATGAACAATGTATTATTTAATTAGGATAAGATTAATCAAATTTTCAAATAAACAATCTATAATACAATTTTATCGTGTTAATAATAAATAAAATGTTATTCGAAATAATCTTCGTGTTTCGATATTTTGTGTGTTTGTTGTTACGACCAATATCTCGGTTGTCCCATTTTTTTCTTTAACTTCATTATTTAATTGTATAAATATTATACGCTAAGAAGAGGGCCAAGGAAAATTCTTTTCCTTGGATATGGTGGTCGAATAAAAAAACACGATCGAAAGTGAGTTTTATGTGGTAACAAAGTCTGACTCACATAATCGAAAGATTATTCCCTGTGTAAAGACAATTTAACCCACTTTATTAAGTTGCGGTTTGGAGAAACGATTGTTGAATTTAATATGCTAATACAAAAGCTTACCAGCAAATTAACGTACAGTATGTAATAATTTGAAGGTTAGATATATGGAATTAGAATTGTCCTTGTAGTAGAAATCTTACAGTTTTCTAAATTCCTTTATTTTATATATTTCAACGTTACGACACCGATTATGAAAACTTTCATCGATGAAATTTATACCAAAAGAATAGAAGAAACAAAAAGAAAAAAGGAAATAATATTTTTAAATATATTTTCTAATTTCAAATTTTTCTTTTCTTTTTTGTTTTCTTCTCATCGAAAGAGAAAAAAGAAAAATTTCTGAATAAAACGTGATCGATATTTCAATGATGTTCAACGAATTAACATAACTCGTTCATTTATCGATACGAATCATATAAATTCTTTAGAAATAATATTAAGATACTTATACACACGTAACCGATCGTATAGTAACAATTTAACACAATTAATAGATTTAATGATAATCGTTTGAAAATATTAAACTACGTGATGTCATATGACTTCGATTATCTCGTAATATAGTTTCCACATCGAATAACAAAAGGAGAGGAGGATAAAGACACCCTTTATTAGAACGGATAAAATATTCAATAATGGATAACGTAGCTTTTGAAACATTTAGCGTTTAGATATCGATTGTTCGTAAGGATATATCGAAAACTTTATGAATATACATATTATATATTATCCTGAATAATTCTTCTAAAAAAAAAAAACAAAAAAAGAAAGGAAATTAATTTCGTCATAATATAACATGACATCGAACCGAATAATAAAACATTAATAATGCAATTTAAATGAGAATTGTGTGTGTTTTCTTTTTTTTTTTAAAAAGAAAAATTATTTCAACAAATTCATCCAAATAATCAAAATTGGTATACGATAAAGGATATAAAAATGGTCGCCATATTCTTCTATCTACACATTCGACGATTCTTAAGAAGCTGATGACCTTAATAATGACCCTGATAAATACTAACTTTCTTGTTTCTTAGCTGGTGGATGAGAAACCGATGGCGCTGACAACGATAACCACGTATCGGCAGAATGTTTCTAAGGTTAAATTATTTAAAACTGTAATTCAGTTACAGCTGTACTCTGTCCCATACATCTATGCATAATTCTTAGTTGACGAGCTAAGTTAGTAACAAACGTTGTTTCCAATGACACTGTTTCTTTTTTTTCCTTCATCATTGTCGAATTGTTTTTTTTTAATAGCCCTCCCTCCCACCCCTCGCCACCAAAACAAAAAAGAAGAAGAAGGATGATCAATTTTCTTCAAGATATCTTTCATATAATAACATTATCAATAATTTGATTAATATTATTTTAAATAAATCGTAAATTGTATAGATTTGTATTTTTAATACAACATTTTCTTTCTTTTCCTTCAACGAGTTGAAATATAAAAATTTGTCTTTTATTTAAAAAAAAAAAAATATATAATTAAGATCGTTCGTACTTATGCGATGTATATTCGTTCATATTTTTGTTATATTGAATATTCATAGGATAAATTCTTCTGATGATGATGATGATGATGATGCATAGAAAACGTTCAATTGAACAAACGTTAGATCTTAAATAGAATATATTAGAAAAATAAGATCGATTCGTAATGCGTATTAAAGAGTTCACTAGAAATGGAAGAAAGTTCCCTGATTATATCCAACAAGTACTACGAATTGTTGAAAAGGTCAAAGACGATACAAAAAGTCTATTTACCAAGCTCGATTTCATGAAGTATGTAATTTCAATAAAAAATATTCCATGGTGTATAATAAAATCGTATATAATTTCAAATAGAGAAAAATACAACGAGAAATACTTTTTTTGAAACGATATGATATTACTGATTGTTATTTAATTAAAAATAAATTGTATTTTTTAAATAAATATAAGAAAATAAATTGAGATAACAAATCAGTACTTAAGATATCTTCATATTTTTTTAAATTTATACAATCAGATATAGAAAAGGTTCCATCGTTTAAAAAATAGAAAAAATAAAAAAAAAATACATATATTTAATCAATAAAATTCATTAATTTTATTAATACGACTCTTAATTATTCAAATAAAAAGACATAAGGAACCTTATTACTTTCTAAATCGACGTGATCTTTATTAAAAAATAGAAGAAAAAAAAATAATAATAATAATAATAATATGTTCATTCGTAAGAATATAAAAAAGAAATCACAGTTCGATAAAAATAGTTTCTTCATAAAATATTTCATATCGTGGAATAGTTATAACATATTTTC